ACACATAGTATGAACAGGAGAGTTTTCGTATATATTTGTTCGTGGCGTGGTAATGTAGAATGAGTCGGTGCATCGAGATGCTTGACGGGGAATTTTGAAGTTTATCTGATGTAGTAAGCATTAACATCTAATTTTATTGTTAGTTATTTTATGTAGCGTAATGACACCAGAACATTTCCGTCTTTGATCCAGGCTGAAAAAGCTATGTCTTGACAGTAAACTCTCGTGTGACGTGCCAATTGGTGGATAAGTCCGATCTGCTTTAAAACTTAAGTATTTGAGAAAGCGTCTTTGGATTGCCTCCAGTTTATAGACATGCACTTGATAATATGGGTTCCAGATAACTGACGATAATATTCTCTACATCATATTCTATGTTGAATGAATTGAATATATTATGTTACCTTCATGTGTGGTATATATTCTCAAATTCATTGTTAAATCCGACAAATTCGGAATATCTAATGAAAAATCGAAAAATTGCTATCGACTCATCGATTGTGAAAACGTGACATTCGTTCATCTATTTGGAATGAGACCATCGACATTTTCAGGAAACAACGTTTCGAACATGCAATTTGTACGAAGATAACAGCCCTTGAAACATTCTATTATATGTCGGTATACATAAATCTGATGATAACATTTCCATCAGGCATTCAATATGGCTGTTATGCACGTTTCAGAATAAAAATTGGGTGTAATACAGTTTTCCCAATGCTTCAGAACGCACCATTATTTTTAATACTGTATTCAATTCAGAAAACTGAATTTCCACATCCAAGGCAAACTCATAATTACTGAATGTTTACTTTCCCGGAGTACCTGCAGACCCTGAAATGCCATAATCTAGTATTTCAGTCCGTTGCTAAACAAGGAACTTTACCGAACCGAAAACTACGCAAATTTTTTTGACGACCTATAGGCCGACAAAATCGGTCCCTACTACTTTTTTATATACATCTCGAACAGTAGATAAAATGTTGATTGCGATCACAGAGAAATAGCAAGTGTACCTCGTTGTGAAGGCACTTTTCCATACCTCATATTGTCTTCCGGAAATTCACTGCTTTCATCTACTAGACAAACTGTATGCTGTCTTCGACCTGAGAAATCCTTTTTCTCCACTACTAGTCAATAATAACTTTTTTTCACTACTAGCTATAGAACCTACAGTTTTTTACTTATTTTCAAGGTAGTTTTCGTCATTTTATGAACTATACTAGTCAGTAGAGACATGATTAACCCGAATTTACTATTCTGATGCAAAATTTGCCTGAAGAAAAAAAGTGCTTGCATATTGAGAGTATCACACAACCATATTGATTGAAATATATTGTTAGTGGTGAAAAATATCCAATTTGAACCTTGACACCTTGGTATGGTCAACCTCCAGATACCAATCTCAAATTGAATCGGATCATAAATACAAAACTCGTTCGCCATCTCGAATTTCCTAATTCGACAAAGGAATCATCTCTGACCCCGGAGTATCTCAATGATGTGTTGGAGGTGGAGGAAAAATTCACTGAAAAAGGCTCATTATATTTGGACAAATGATTGATGTTGGTAGTGAAAAAAATTATTGAGTAGAAAATTTTGTAACGAAGAAGAGAATAGCTTCGATTCCCCATCCACTGATACAGATCTTCTCTCACTGGTATTTTTCACTAATTGCTTTCGCGAAGGGATTTATGCTGACTAATACAAAGAAATGAACAACATACAATTCAACACCCTGGAAAATATTTGACAAACATTTTAAATCACATCGAATTGAATTTTTTCAATAGCCTCTGAACCAAGCAAAATATCATGAATCAAATAAAGAAATTGAAGGAGAAAATGGTCATTGGCGTACACAGAAAAGGTTTTATCGATATTTTCTATCAAAATATGTTTGTATATTGATCGGGGGCTTCGATAATATTCATTCTCGGGGAGGACGGGGGTTGTTGGGGTGACCAGGTTTTGAAAATGCAAAAAGGCGATTTTTCTAATTATTTAAGGTCGAATATCTTTGAATTGAAAATTGGTTTTTTTCCTACCGCTGAAACAACTGCTTATTTTTACGAAAAATATCAAATTCTTTATATTCCTCTTCTAGTAGAATGAAATAAGAAGTTTTATTAGCAGTTTCAAATCCTAAGAAATTTTATGATTTTTTCTCTACAAGAAGCCGTCATCAGAATTATGATCAGCGTTTAGTTTTCTCGAACCTATCATCAAATAACAGTGATGATGGTTTTTAGGTTCGAAACGACGAATAAATGTGGAGTGCAATATTCCGTTGGATTCGAAATCGGAATTGAATACCTCCATTACCCCTCCCCATATCGACGCTCTTGATATTGATGAAGATAATATGGTGGCTTCGATATGGATACTGATATCCCCAGTGTACCTCAAAATTTCACAGCGATACTCAGAAAAAAATCAGAATATTAAAAAAAAATCTGAACAGTTTTTTTCAACGGTAAAGAACAATAGCAGATAGACAAAGTATATTGGTGTGGGGGTCAGTTTGAAGAGAAATGTGTCATTGTATATCTCTGAAAATATATGGTAGGTATATTATAACATATCACGAACGCTGAGTAAAATTAACTTAGACAATTGATTGTCTGGCGTAGAAGTAATTTTGGTTCTTTCGTCTTATTTCGTTTTTACCTATCCGTGCAATCATTTTGTATATTTAGACATTTTAGAGATAAAGGTAAGGTATTATAACTTATAACGAACAAATGATGCTATTGAATCAAAGGAAAATATGTAATTTTCTATCCAATGGGCCTTTTCATTGTATATTTCGACCTTTTTTCGCTATAATGTTATAAAGGGAAATCGAAAACGTCTTTCTGACCACATATTTATCAAGAAAATCGAACAACGAATGCATTATTCAATGTTGAAAATGATATCCCAATACCTGTGAATTCGAAAGCTACTGAGCCGTGATGTCAGTGTCTACTTGCAAATTGATTGGATGGAGTGTATGACGGCTGGGAAGCACGCCGCTGTTGTCAAGTCTCTATTGAATCCTCAAACTGATATTATGTGCAAGATGGTGCAAGAAATGCCATGATTCGGAATGACTAAGTATTAGGTGTTTGGTTGATTGATAATTCACTGCTGATCACATTCAATTTACTCTGAGTTCCAAAAAATATTCCATAAGTTTCAAGATAAGTGAGGATAAAATGTGATGCAGGCATCTAAGAGTAAGATGCTTTTCATATGGTTTGGTTCGAGTTATGATTTTGTTGACTTATTGTTATATTCTACAAATTCAACAGTCTTACTATATCTCAAGTAGTCTTTTCCGGAAAATTCAATTGTTAATGTGCCAACTATGTTCACAAGAAAAATAGATAAAGCAACTTGCGCTAACACAATGTTGCCAAGTCAAAATACCTCACTGCACTTTGATTCAATACAGAATAAAATTTATCTCACAGCTGAAATGAAAAATTGGCAACATTGTCAAGTCCATTGTGCATTTTATTGGCACCCACGAGAAAATGATGGCATTACCAATCCAAATTATTCGTGCACTGACGTCACACGTGTCGAGGCCATATAAAATCGTTTGAATTCGTTTATTTTGCCGTTCTCAATAATTTTTCATACGATGAATTGATAGAAAGAAATCTCAAAAAATTATTTCGATATTTCAGAGCCACATACACTGAGAAAATAAATGGAAATTTGTATAACTAAATGTAATGGTGGTTTAGAATTAGTTTCACTTTTTTGAGTGATCAATACTTAGACAAACCTCTTGCATACCACCTTCGAATATTGATAGTTCAAATTATTATTCACCACTACATCAAATAACATGTAACATACCTAGTAATTGCTAAATATCTCTTATGTAGTAGTATTAGGATTGTGTTGAATGTTATATTATTATTTCTATTTACCACTACCTATTAGTGCGTAGGGTAATAATAATAGGTTTACTTTTTGTGATGTACAAATCTACCTCATCAGAGACTAATATGCCAAAATCACGAAGCCGATCGTCGACGTTCGTTTTTGTCAATGCAGGTGGCTTGGCGTTGGCGTGGTCGTTTCATCAGTTCATAATTCATCTTTCGTTGCGTTCGTCTCGTGAATTATAAATGGAATAAATTTCTTTGGCCCATAGAGTTTTCATTTGCAGTGCATGTGTATAGTGTAAGTACCTACTTACCTACAAACGGTGCTACTGTGAAGTGTGAACTGATAGTGGTAACTCGAAAAGTTGCTACCAGTGTTCAACTGCAAGTAAAATACCTATTTGTTTCATCTAGAAACTGAAATGGCAGGTGAACGTTGCAAGCGTTATTGAGGAGAACGAGAAAATCTCAATTTTGTTGCACAAATTTACACAATAATTCGATTTTTCTCTCATTCCCAACTTCATCCATATACTCAGATAGCAATCTCTAATACCTACCTAATTATCATAACATACCTGCAAATTATTGAGATCCTGTGATATTTTTCAGTTTTTTCTCCAAATAAGTATGTCCCTGATGGTGGTAGAAAAATATTGATTCAGAGTTTGAACAGACAAAATTGAACGACAAAAATGAACGAAGCTATAAGTAGAAATCACTAGTATGTAGTGGTAGATATGAATTGAATAAGTAGAGCATAAATTTATTGTTTGTAGTGGTAAATACGAACCGACGAGCTTTATAGTATTATTCACTCATTTGTAGTGGTGAATAATAACCGTACAGGTAGGGCCCCTTATAACTAGTGCTTCAGTATGTCATATTGCCTCAATCTCACTATTTTGTAGTGGTTATATTTGTTGTATGTAGTGACTAGCGCCTATTTAACCACAACGCTTGGTATGGTATAGTGATCTTTAGGTAGTCACAACGGATAATTTTTCTCAGTGTAGTTATTTGGAGATATATTCTTTTTGGAAATGCCTGGAAAGGCAGGCTCATTATTGCTGTGGAGACTTCTGATTTCTAAGTTATATGTAAAGAGTGACTTACGTTGTGTCGCCAGCTGACTTTATAAACCCATGGATTTGACTTGATGTTGCACTCGAAATAGACATCAACGCCCTCTTTGATAGTACTGCCATTCAAAGTGCTTCCAAGTTCCAGAGACACCAAAGGGATATCTGTAAAAGAAATACAGTGACGTAAACGTTGTTACTATTCAACGATTGAAATCGATAGGATGATACTGTGAGGCATCGCTTCCTTGTGGAAAAGTTCCAAAATGATGTTTGCCTTCAGAGAAATTGGGGTCTCTGATACCAGACCAAATTTTGTTGAAGTCGTGTGACTAATAATAACGCAGTATAATGTTTAATACAAGTAAATGCTCTTCACTATATATTTTCCATGAGTTTTCAATGAAATCATATTCAACAAAATATATCATCAGTTGTAGTACGTTAAAATTAAATTTGAAGGACACAAGCCTGCGTTGGAGTCAATGGAGCCCATTTTCGAACATCATTTTCTTGTAGAAAGGAAAGTGTTATAAACTTTAATTTTTTCCAGATTATTTGGGATTTTCAAATCAGATGATTTTTCCCAAAATGTCACTGCGTTTAACCTACAGACAGTTATTTACTCTATTTCTCATCTCGTGTTCTGTTGGTCTTTTATCTCATTCTCTTTTGTGAAATCGACTTCTCATGTAATTCATCTGTCGAATAGGTTGTGATACACCCTGAATATGATGTATATATAGGCCTGTTCGTTTGTGCTTGCTCTACCTACAAAACTTGTTTTTTCAAGACTTTGGATAAAACAATATCTATTACGTTAACTTCACATGAGTATTCTGTCAAGTGGCCGTCAGTCGAAACATCGAGTGTGAAAATATATAGATCTTCGAGGTTGAAATTTATTGCACTTCACATATCAACGGAAAAAATTATAGGGTGAAATTTGAAGAAATTAAGTCAAGGGTGGTTTTCCAAGGGTAGTTTGGCAGAAGTTGACTTAGACACAATGACTTCAAAGTCATTTGGCTTCCACAGAAGTATATGTATTTTGTTTTTCTTTCAAGCAACATAGCCGAGATATTGACTCTATGAAAAGATCTGGGACACCCGGTATACATATCTCCGAGCAGATACTGAATTATCCAAGGACCTTTCTTGATAATATCTATATTTCCCATGACATCACGACGATGAAAAAAATTGGCGTATATCTTTGGCGCTTATATATTTCTCCAAGGACTGGAATGTTATTATTTCTCGGAAGAAAAAACTTATGGGCGGCGTACACCGTTAAACCTCGATAATGCTCAGTTTTTTCATCGCACACTGGGAAAATAGCTTACTTATACCAACCCTAAGCGGGGCGACGATGAATAGACGTCAAGCGGGCGAAAAAATGTTATGTCATCACATTTTCATGCGGATTCCCCTTCTTTTTGGTCGAATCTGTAGTTCGTTGAATAAATTCGAAACATTAAAACAAAACTTTTCCGTCAGAGGAACGGTCTGACGAAAGGATACAAAAGAATTGTGGAACGCAAAAGGATGTCCATTTCCTGGAAAATTATGACTATGACAACCTCCGGGCGATGAGCTGTAAAATTTCAGCAGTAAAACTTGAATGCAGCACTAGCAGGACCGTATTGAAATAATTGTTCTTTGTTCTTATCCATGATTCGGTTGCCCCCTCACGAGCAACCCTCAAAAGTCTTCAAGATACTTGTGCGAACAAGGGATGACGGGGGTCTTACCTTTTAATGTGTGATCCCGAACACTTTCCTAGATCATCAGAAAAATTTCTGCGGTCGTGGTGGGAACCGAACCCACCTACCGGCAATCCAACGTGGATAGAATACTGACGCTTCAACCACGAGGCTACGCTGACCACGCTACATACATACGGTATTTCAGTTCAACTTCGATAATGGACAAATGCTTCGAAAATATTATACATGAGGTCCTTTACATTTCTTCTGACCGGAACTCAATTTTCAGATGAAGATATTTATGGCAGGAATTGGAAAGCGGAGATCTGGTTGAATCGGCCTACTAGATATCCTGATTTATCACCGTTAGGCTTCTTGTGTGGTGGTTTTTGAAACCTTGAAGGTCATCAGTTGTAAGGACATGCATATTCCCTTCACACAAATAATATGTGAATACATTTCGAAAATCTTTCATACTTCTTTATGGTACTGAATTGTTGAACTTCCAAATGATGATACCAATGCAGGTGATAAAAAATGAAAATATCTCGATAAAAATTAGTTTTCTTCGAAACTTTCACATCACTTGATGGATTATCAGTTGCATCATACCTATATATATATATTGTAATCCCTTCAAAATAATGTATGAAAGTAGGGATGAGCAATAGTGATTTTAGATTATCGATTTTATCGATATTATCGATATAATCGATATTATCGATATTATCGATATTGATCGATCGATTTATGAAAAGTTATCGATTTTTTTTATAATATCGAAAATATTGATATTATTGATGATATCGATAATATCGATAATATTGAAGTTGAAATTCTGAAGTAGCTGGGCATAAGATTGACAGTACAATGATGACGTATTTGGTGGAAAATATTTCTCTAGAAATGAAAAATCGACTGGTCAGTGCGATTTTAATTTTTTTCTACGAATTCGGAGATGAGAGGGTGACCAGTTTTAGATGAGACATACTGTCATTCTTTTTTCGCTGAGTAGTGAAGTAACTCGTGTTTGAAGAAAGGGTTGTTCAAATTTTCATCTTTGTTGAACAAAAGCTATCAAGAATGGGGGTTCAACATTATTTTCTCAATTTACTCTCTGTTTCTCATTCATTCCAATGTATTTCTTAGCTTTCGTGTAACTGCAAAAAGTATGAGATCTACCGGTGAAATACGCTCCACCAGGAAATACGCCCCAGTCCGAGTAACATAAATACTATCCGGCAGCCGGTACAGTAGCCACCAGTTACTTCTGTTGTTTACTTTTTTTATCGTGGTACGCCAGAAATTTCGGTCATTTCGGCACTTTTTCACTCGAAAATATTCACATTTCTGTCGATCAAGGTCCCAGTCCAGCTCATAAAATTATACGGTAAGTAATTATTTTTCAATTTTTAATTTGTTTCTCAAGTTTTTTGTAATTTTGTTGAAGCCATGAGTAAATACGTTTTATAACCTATAAATTCCCATTTGTTCGTTAAGTTTGCACTTTGCCTTGACCTATTAGGTAAGTGAGGCGTTTTTCACCAGTGATTGGGAAAAACGCCCCAGTAGTAATGGTATAAAACGCCCCATCAACTATGTATTATAACTTTCAATGACACCTAAATGATAAATAATATTTTCATCTTCAGAATATGGGAAAGAAATATGTCCGCGAGACTACACGGGCTTTATTTAGTCAAGATTCTTTGGCAGATGCTATGGGAAAAGTTATATCCAGAGAAACGGGTGTAAATGAAGCAAGTAGAAACTCTTTCCAAATTTTTGAAAGGAGATAATCGCATTCCCTTGATTCCCCACCAAATTGGTGAGAGAAAACAACATGCTTTAGAGCTAACGTCTACTGAAAATCGTGCCAAAAGGCAAGTTTTTTCAGACAATAAGAAAGCCATCGCCGAGAAAGAAGAAAGCAAAAATATCCAATGATAAAGGCAGTGACAAATCTATAAAATCTTAATCACGTATTTCAAGTTCTTCAAGCTCCGAAAGTGAACCCATTCTAAGCTCTTATGATGAGATGTCGGATGATACTGAAAACTTTTGTGTCGAATATAGCGAATACTATTTTACTACGAAGTCAAAAGTTGACTGGATTGAATGTCCCAAGGGTAGTGGTTGGCTACACGAGACTTGCGGGAGTCACTTAACCACATGCAGTGGTGGTGCCAATAAAACACTCAAAAAGATATATTTTTTTAAGTGGGGCGTATTCAACGACTTTAACTCTTTCGGAAAATTATGTTACTGTTTTGTCAAAATGTGTTCAGCATAATGAAATATACCGTTTAGCTAATATGTTTATGGAACTGAAATGAAAGATAAGTTTGTATTTTTGTGAAAATATTTTTTTTCCAAAATGTATTTCACTGGTTTACCCTAGAGAAATTGATATCCCATCTCCTCGATTAACACGAGGTCCAACATACGGACAGTACCTATGACGACTACTATCCTATACAGAGATAGGCAAATAAAAGAAGTACATATAATAGTGGACAAATGAATGTTGAATCGAAATGAATTTTCCTGATATCCACTAAATCAAGCAAATATTCACTTGAACTGAATTCAGGTGAAAGAATGATTTATCGAGTTATCGATGAAATATTGAAAAATGATCAGTGGCATACTCAAGAAAACGTAAACGAATTTTCTCGTAACAGAACCCAAAATACCTATTGCCTCTGTACATCGACTGGATCCATTCAACAAGTTACATAGTACTTGTGTACTCTTCAAGGTTTTGAGATCTAGGGAAATGGAGAATATGATTCGATTGCCCTCTGATTTGGAGGTCAACACTGCAATTCTGTATAATTATACAGGCTGTTTCTACTAAACCGCATATCAGACGTATTTGAAGTTAAAAAAATGTCACTGATCTGATGATCTGATGTCACTGATAATAATGGTGTGGTATCATCTTCACAGCAATGCGACATTCCACATTTGGGGACAATCTGCGTGGGTAAGTTAAAAATACGGGTAGGTATATGTACCTATTGATTTCTAACAGAAACGAACTCTGAACTTTGTATATACAGGGTGCCTGTAAGAGGTTGGTCGTCTGTGGACTCCTGGGATAAAAACAAGTTGATTTAGGCCAACTTACCTATATCCAGAATCGTCTCGTTGAGTTGGTACAAGAAGTTGAAGTTTTTTTGGAAAAAAATACATTGATGTGAAGGATGACTCATATGTAATCCCGCCAGAAGAAATAGCACTTCGTAAATTTTGTATTTTCAATGTGTCTAAATGTATTTTCTGCCAAAAACGTTCAAATAATATATAACTTTCTTAAGTATGGACCTAGTATTGACTACCATTTATTGCCATGGAAGTCGAGTATCATAGCCAATGCTTTGTATCAAATTGGAAACATTATATAGATGATCACTGAGTGAGAATGAAGTTGTCAGTACCACACATGGCAGA